GCTAGAAGTCCTGAGCACAGCCAGGGGTGTCCCAAAAAACGAAAGAAAATAAAAATACAAATTCTACCACATAGAAAGACACTTTTCCTGTGTCAGATTTACAAGAATCCAAGCAGCTGACACCCTGTGGGGGAGGCTGGAGAAATGGGCATTCACACAAGCTGGTGAGTGTGCAACCTGGTCAGGCCCCTACAGAGAGCGATCTGGCAAGACCTACCTAGCAATGTGCAGGTGTTTACCTCTGACCCAGCAACGTCCCTGGGCTTCCACAAGCTCCAGCACACAAATGGAAATGGTGCAGAGGGCAAGGGGCAATGGTGCGGAAGCAAGGGAACTCCTCGGGGGCACACCATCAAAAGCAAGCTGAGGGCCAGGGAGTGGGCAACCAGCAGGGGCATAGGCTCTGCACGTGCAGGACCCGTGCTAATCCCGGGGTACGGACCCCAGCCCCCACTGCCCAGCACCACCAGACCAGCCCTGGAGGCCCAAAGAATGCCGGGGAAAGCCCTAGTGGTGTCCACCAACCCAGAGCTTGAGCAACAGCACATCCTCAGACCTTCCAGAAGGGCTGAGCCAAAGGCACAGGGACCCTAAGTCCCCCTGAGGTCACCAGGAAAAGGTATGTTGAAAACAGTTTAACTGACATTCTGTACCTAGGGGGAGGGATTGAAAAAGAACCAAAGAAACACATAAAGAACAATTTCACAATACTTTAAGGCTAAAAGAATGACAATGATCTTCCAAGTACTGACATGCTAAATCTCTGGGCTACATTATAAACAAAGTCCTATGTGGCCCCCAGGAACCCTCCCGCCAGCTCGCCAAGAGCAGCCGGGAGTCTTCCCCTCCTAACCCACAATGCAGGCTGGTGTGAAGCTTCCTTCTCCCACGCTCCCCCCACCCCGCCCGGTCCCCTGGACTGGGCAGCGACCCCATGGCAGCTCTCAGCACGGCCCTGTACCTCTCAGGTGCTGGGAGGTCGGAGCAAGCATAAGCTCCAGTGTACCGCCCTGCACCAGCAGCCCAGCCTCAGCACCTGCACTAGTCAGGGAGCAGCATAGGCTGGGGGTATCCACGGATCACACGGAACCCCTGTCTGCAGGAAGCAGGGAGAACAGGAGACGGCTGAGGGAGGCCTAGGAGGCACAGGCCAGACTCAGCAGAGGCAGCAGGCGGTGAGCAGCAGGCAAGGGACAGCCCACGCAAAAGGAAGGTTGCCTACAAATGAGTGGGGAAGGTAGGAGGTGAGAACAAAGGCCATGGAGAGGGCTCAAAGGACTAGAACAAAGGATGGGGGTGGGGGGCACGCTGGGTTCCATCCCCCGCACTTCATGGCCCCCCCAATACCTCGAGAAGTAGAGACTTAGGATCACCAGTTAGTTTACCATCCCCACCCCCAAAAAATGACGAAAGGTCAGCAAGGATGGTCCTGGATGCCAGTGACAGAGCACCTGGCCTTTTCACAGACATCCGGGCCGGAAGAGCCCCCATCTCCAGGCCCATCTGGGCAAGCAGCTGCCTCTCACCCCAGGCACTGCCTGGCCTTTCCCCTGGAACTCAGCTCCCTGGCTCTAGCTGGTCCAGCCAGCCCGGCCTCTATTAACCAGGGAACAGGGCAAGATATAAAGGAAAAACAAAAGTGGCAAGGGGAAAAGAAAGACTCTGGCTCTCCAAGAGATGATGTTTGTCTGGAAATTTCCCCCTGAGCTGAATCAGGGGTCAAAAGATGCCAAACAAGATAATGCTCCTGAATTCAAAAAAGCAGAAAACAAAAAAACAGTACAGCAGATAGGGTGCTGGCCTTGATGCCACCAACCTGGGTTCAATACTCAGCTCCCCAAAGCCCTACCAGGAGTGATCCCTGAGCACAGGGCCAGGAGTAAGTTCTGTGAACACCCTGGTGAGGCCCAAAGAAAAAAGCAAGGAAAAAAGAAAGGAAGACCACAGCAAAAACTATATTTCCACATTTTCCACTCAAAGAGAAAAATCTTAGGCTGACTGGTACCAAATTATTTCTATGAACCTCATGGAAAAGTTTTTATTTATTTTTCCAAATTATCGGGTACGGAAGTCAGTATGTTAAATAAGTGTGTTCTTCTTCATAGGACATTTTCACCCTTTAAATTTAAATGGATCCTCTTTCTCTTCTAAATGAAAAACAAAATCTTTCATAGTAGCCTTGAAATCTCTACTAAGGGATTTCTTAAATATCCACCAGATGTTCATGAGACGCAGCACACAAACGCAAACGGGCTCCTGGGGGCGGCGATGTGACACATCTGTCCAAGTGCCACCTCCCCCTGCCACATGGACAAAGCAAGGCAGCCGGTGCCTGTCTGTCTGTCTACTTGTGGACACAGCTGTCAGTGTCAGGGCCATGCTGGAGCTGGAACCCTGGTGAGTGTGAGCTCCAGCCCAGGGCGACCCATCTCTCCTGGGCAGGCCGAACCCCAGGGGACGTGGCTGTTCACAGGGATCCAACCAACCCTGTATCCGGGCATCTGGTCTAGAAGTTGCTCTTTGATGACTCTGGGACAAGAAGCCCCTCAGCACTGCCCAGTGGTTGTCATGGGCAGGAAACCACTGGAAGGGAAAACCTCTTTTCTCAGACCACAGTCTGACTTTCTCCCCATGTCCATCCATCTATGGGTCTCTGCCTGTCTGCTAGTAAGATGTGAAATGGCTCCAGTGGTAACTCGCACACCCTTGGCTCGCCATACATCAAATCTCCAAGGAAACATACTGAGAACATGGCCCCATCCAGAACAATTAAAACAGAAGGTGATACGGGCCAGAGCGATAGGGCAACAGGTAGGATGCTTTCCTTGCACACGACCGGCCCAGGTTCAATCCCCAGCACCCCACCATATGGTCCCGTGAGCACTGCTAGGAGTAATTCCTAAACTCAGAGCCAGGAGTAACCCCTGCATCAACCAGGTGTGACCCAAAAAGCGGAAAAAAAAAAAACACTAAAAGGCAATGGGCTGGGGGGACGCGTGCCCCTGATGGGTGGCCCGCGGGATGCTGCAGTGCCCGCCCGCCGTCACGCGAAAACCCAGGTCCATGAATTGGAAAAAAATAAATAAATAAATAATAAAAGGCAATGGGCCAGATCGTATAAGGTAAACAAGTAGGGTGTTTGCCTTGTATGGCTTCCCATATGGTTCCCAGAGCCCACCAGGAGTAATTGCTGGGTGCAGACCCACGAATAACCCCTGAGCACCACTGAGTGTGGCTCAAAACCAAAAGCAAGCAAACAAATTTCTTAACAACCCAAAAGGCAACAGGGACCAAGGATCTGCACTTTTAAAAAGAACCCTGGAACTTAGTCCTATTCTAAGTTCCTTCCCAATTGGGGAGTTTCCTTCCCTTTCCAAACCTCTACTTTTCAATAAACCTTTCTATTAAAAAAAAAAATATTAAGGGCCAGAGAGATAGAACAGGTGGACCTTGCATCCCATATGGTCCACCGAGCACCACCACGAGTGATCCTGAGTGCAGAGCCCTGACTGAGCCCTGAGTATCACTAGGTGTGACCCCAAAACAAAATAAAATTTAAAAGGATCTCCCAAGTAATTAAAGTCCAGTTGGATCAGCTGAGAATCAATGGCTCAGAGAAAGTCAGCCACAGGGAGACAGACGGGCTACAGAACAGTGGAGGGACGAGGTACAGACCCCGCCAGAGCAAGGACAAAGCCTGCCTCTGAGCTGAGCTTCCCTGCAGGCTAAGCAAAAAGACCTCACACTTCCACAGACAGGAACAGCAGACCCACGGGGCAGATTCCCCTTGTCCTGAGGCCTGAGATCAAAGTCCCCCTCCCTCCCTCCCAAGGGACACACAACAGGAAGTGGGGCAGTGTGTTCCCCCACTCCTCACCATCAATAACCACCCACAGGCTGCAGGCCACACACCTCGTCTTGTGGACTAGTCACTGAGGTGCCCCTGAGTCAGCTCTAGGGTACCCGCTAGCTTCCTAATGGAAATCGACGCCTAATGAAAAGCAAAGCCGGCACACACAGAGCAAGTGACCAAACCAACTTCCCACCGACAACAGTGCCTCTGACCTCACTCCAGCCCCTGCTGTGAAGGCCACAGGCAGACCAGCACCGAAACAAAAGCACTGGCCTGACCTGTATCTTTGGCTGGAGGAATTCTGGCCAGGAACACCATGCCCAGAACTCAGGAGAAACCACAGAGCCCGAGGCCAGTGCTGAGCCAGGCCAATGCCCACCCTCAACCACCAGTCATGGTCATCTGGCACTGAGAACCAGGGTGTGTCCCTCAAAGAGCAGCCTGGAAGCAGGTCTGACTATCAAAGGAAACAAGAACCATCAGAGAAGTCCCTGGCATCCCTGAGAGCCAGACCTTTCATATAGGACGCCATTTTCCAGCATTAAACTACTTGGTTTGGTCTGGGGGCCACACTCATCAGTTCAGGGGTCACTTTCCTTGTAGCACTGGAGGACCACATGCCTCCCACCTGGGCCTCCCACATTCAAAGCATGCACTCCAGACCTTTGAGCCCACACCCCAGCTCCCTGAGGTGGTGGCTTTCAATGGATCACTCTAGTCATGCGTGATAAAGACTTAAATTTCACAAATGCCAATAGAAAACATACAATGAAAGGAATCAGAATGTACTGGTACTGGGTGCCAGAAAAGACGGGGACAAGAGGCAAAGAGTTCCAATCCAAACAATTCCACTAAAATAGCATCAGAGATGCTCTGGAATGCAGGGCCCTGCGTCAGGAAGAGGGGCTTAAGGAGAAGAGGCATGGTGCTGCCAGCGGGGCTGGGTCACGGAGGGAGGGCACCAGAGAGGGGAGCAAGTGCACCAACCTAACCATCAGATACTGCCACATCTGCACCGGTGTGAGACACTGGGTCCCCAGAGCAGAGCCAAGCGTGGAGGGAAGTGACGGGGCACAGGGGAGAAGCGAGCTGTGGAGAGCTGATGAGCATTAGCCCGTCCAGAGACAGCACCCACACTGGCACTGACCCGCGGCTGCCAGGCAACAGCCCGGTCCCTGGCTGCCAAGCCTTCTGATTCGTCAACGGAGCTGAAAGTCTGGAGCGCAATGCGAGATCTCCTGATTCTCCTGCTAGCAACTGTGACCGACGGAACAATGGCCTCCCCAAAATGTCCACATCCTAATCCCAGTTGGGTGACAAAGGGGAATTCAGGTAGCAGATGGAATTAAGGTTTCTAAGGCAGCTGACCTTAAAACAGGGAGAAGAGTTGAGGATGTAGCTCTGTGGTAGAACACTTGACACGTATGCGGGAAGCCCAAGGCTTTATCTCCAGCACTGCAAAAAAAGGAAAAAAAAATAGAGGTTGAGGCCAGGGCAATAGTACAGTGGGCAGGATGTTTGTCTTGCAAGCAACTGTCTCTGGGCTCCGTCCCCCACACCCCCGATGGTCCCCCAAGCACTGCCAGGAGTAAGCCCTGAGCACCTTGCCAGATACGGTCCAAAATTCTAAATTAAACTAAACTGAAAGACTGGGGTCAGAGTAATAGTACAGCAGGTAGGGAGCTTGTCTTGCATGTAGTCAACCAGGGTTCAATGCCTGGCACCATGTATGTTCCCCCAGTCCTGCCTGGAGTAATCTTAATATGGAGTTAGGAGTTAAGCCTGAGCACCCCTGGGTGTGACCCTAAAAACCAAAGGAGAGAGAAACCTTTCACTCTCGCCCTCGATTCTGACTCACAGCCCAGCAGCTTGCATCTAGCTTCGTTGAAGAGAGGTCCGGGGCCACAGCCTCAGCACCAACACACGCCAGACACTGGAGAGCCTCCTAAGGGGTGGCCAAAGTGATCCATCAGGGTCCTTACTCTTACCATCTGTTCATGACCTTCTCAGAACAGGGGACCTGCTCAGGTGTTCTGCTCCCAAGGGATCTGTTTACCAGTGTCAGCACAGATAACTGTCCCCTGAAATCTGGGAAACTGAAACTGGTCAGAACCCTTGTCACCTTCTCTTCTTACGTGATTTTTATTTGGGGGCCATGTCCTGTAGTGCTCAGGGCTTACTCCCGGCTCTGTGCTCAGGCATCACTCCTGGCAGTGCTGGGGGGACCAGATGCCAGGAATCGGGGCTCCAACCCGAGTCCACCATATGAAAGCAAGAGCCTTGCCTACGGGACTATCAACTTTTCTCTAACGGACAAAAAGAAGGACAGACCTCCTAGCCCCTCACCCTCAGCCAAAGCAGACTCTTGCTCTTCCAGCCCTGAGAGCTGGGCTCTCTTCAGTTTCTGAAAACAGCTACAGGGCCAGCTGGAGCTAGAGCTACAGCAAATGTGCTTCCTCATCTCCATGTCAGATTCAAGCCGAGCTGCTCCGATCAGAGGGACTTGCAGAGCCTGGCGCTCCGCCTCTCAGCACCAGAATAAAAGATGCTATCAGAACCACAGCCCCACTCAAACCATGGAGCCCTCACTGGCCTCAGACACATGGCACCCTCCTCTTACCCTTTCTCAGCTGGAACGCAACACTTTACCTGCTCAACTGGCCCAGCCACTCCAAGCTCCCAGCCTCCTTCAAGACTGCACTTATACATCAATTCCTCTGAAGACTCCTATGTCATCAAATTCATTCTCAAATTCTCTCTTCCTGGGGGAACTGACATCACTTGCCCCCCCCCACCTCCACCGCTAACCACACTTTGCTGCAGACCATACTGAGGACAGAACTGACTTTACTCTTCTCGGGGCTGGAGCAAGAGTACAGTGGGTAGGGCACTTGTCTTTCACGCAGCCCACCTGGGTCTGTTCCCCCATACTCCATATGGTCCCGAGTCTGACCAAGAGAGATTCCTGAGCACAGAACCAGGAGTCAGCCCTGAGCACTGCCAGGTGTACCCCTCCCCCCAAAAAACAACTACAAAGAATTTCCCATTTAATATCTATACACTCTCAGCTGTAACACACAATACACGTGCTCAGTACGGGGGGGGGGGGGGGGGGGGGCAGGTTATGGGTCGGGCCACACCAGGTAGTGCTCAGGGCTTACTCTTGGCTCTGTATTTGCCTTGCACAAGCCTGACATGGGTGTAATTCCCGGCACCAAGTTCCCCAAGTAATCCCTGAATACAGAGCTAAGAATAAGCCTTAAGCATCACTGGGTGTGGCCCCAAAACAAAACAAACAACCAACCCCAAAAATAAGGTGTCTGCTATAGTCATTCAGATCAGGCACAGGAAAGAAGCTGTTCCTAACTGCTTGAGCGAGGAGGGGGGTTGACACCAGGAGGCCTCTAGGCAGGGCTGGTCGCCTTGCCTTGCTAAGTTGCCTGTGACAACTAGCCCCATTCCCAAAGCGGGTTCACAGCCAGCTTGAGCATGGGGCAACTCCCGCTGTCCCCCAGTCACTGCCTCCCCTTCCTCCAGTCCGTCCACACTCAGGGCCCTAGTTCCTGCCCCTCCTCGCTCATTCGGATTCTGATGCCAATATTCTCTCACCTAATACATGGGACTCCCGGAAGCTCCCAGAAGACATTTAACTTGTCAACCCACACAAGCCAGCAGGAGTCCTTCAAATGATCACAACAAGCACCAAGTCTTGATGTGGTGGCAGCTGTGACCTGGCTCTGGCACCACTACCACCCCATCCCTGGGCCCCCAAACACCTCAGGGGCCATTCCTGGGCACACAGCCAGGAACAGCCCCTGAGCATGGTCAGGTGTGGCTCATACCCCCCAAGATAGTACTGGCTCCTCTATGGCCTGGGGAAGCTGGGTTTGGGGACCACGCCTAGCAGTGCCCCAGGGTCATCTCCACCTGGTGCCTAAGACTCCACCTCCCCCCCACCTTTCCCACAGCTCCCCAGACCCTGTGACCTGCAGGGACAATAGGGAACAACTGCGCCTCTCAGGGCATCACCTCCACCTCCCCAAGAAGCAGGCTCGGATGTGCACCCATGTGCTGGTTCCAGCATGTGCCCGAGCTCAGGAAGCTAGTCTGGCCCTCGCCCACACAATGATGCCATTGTGCCAGGAGCCCCTGCCAAGCAGCCCTTCCCAAAGCATTTAAGGCCGCACAGACTTCTCAAGAGTCACCCTGCTCCCAACTGCCAGCAAGTCCCAAGAAGGTTGCCTCCTCAAAGCCAGTTATCACCTTAGTCCTCACTGCTTTGAGCAGTGTCTCCCAGGACAGGGCACATGTGCACACACGCACACAAAGACAGACAGACACACACAGAGAGAGAGAGAGACACACACACACACACACACACACACACGGCACTAAGGTCAGATTGCCTACCTGCAGTTCCCTCACACTGAAGTGCTGCCTCCCCGCTGCCTTCCACCCCTGTCCCAATCCCTGCCACTCCCCCAGACTCTCCCATACTTTGTTCCATTCCTGACCTATCTCCTGACAAGTAATCAAAATTGCTGCACACCACCACACCACCAATTTCTATTTTCTCAATCAGCCAGTGCCTTCTGGGTTATTACTAGGGATTTGGGCACACCTGGTGTTCCTCGGGGCGTACTCCTGGCTCTATGCTCAGGGATTACTCCTGGAGGTGCCATATGCAGTTCGGGCAAGTGAACCCAGGCTTGGCCATCTGCAGGGCAACTGTTCTAGCCCTGCACTCTCTGAAGCCCCTGGACAACATCCTCAAGGGCAAGAAACAGTACTCCATCACACCCACCATTTCACACTCAAGCATCACATATTTTTCAGTTTGACACTGACCTCAAATGTCCTGCCCTATGGTCATGAAATCACCCCTGATGCCTGTAATTCTGCTTCAATCAGAGTATCTCCCATAAAGCAGTAGTGGAGACTGCTTTTTCTGATATTTCCCAAATTTTTTGGTGTAAAGTACAGTCATTCTAGTCCAGGACGGCACTGCAGGCACTCAGGGAAGATATGCTTTCAAGTAAAAAATGTGACTGGGGGGCGGAGGTGGGACAATGCAGGGAGTGAGCCCAGGTCTCATACAAGTGAAAACGTGAATGTTTTTTTTAAGTCTTTGAGTCGCACCCAGCAACACTCAGGGGTTACTCCTGGCAGTGCTTAAGGGACCATACAGGATGCCAGGGACCAAACCCAGGTCGGGCACGCGCAAGGCTAGTGCCTTACCTACTGTACTTCCACTCTGGCCGTGGAAACATGCCCCTCTCCTGCCGTGACTCTTTGCTGGCAAAGGAGCAGAAGAGGATGGGCTTCAATTGCCAACTTGTAGGTTTCATGATTTAGTTACCTCAGAATCTAAAACAGTTTACAAAACAAATGTGAGGCCAAACCTGCAGGGCCTGCCAAGAGTGCGAGCAGGTACCAACACATCATATTTACCATCACTCAGCTTGGGAGCCGCAGGCTATTCCCAAGCCTTGGGAAAATGATCACACCCCAGTCTCCTGGTACACTGTGAGCCCAGAACAAAGAGGACCCCAGAAAGCCTGCCTTCATGCCTACTGAGGAAGGACTCACTTTACGTTTTCACATGCACCTATTGTGCTCAGAGACTGAATCAGCACTGGCTTTCTGCAAGGCAACCTCCTTACTCTTATCCTCACACTGGCCCTAATGAAAGTCATAAAACTAGCAAGTTCTGAGTCCCGAGCAATAGTACAGCGATTAGGAAGCTTGCCTCACACACAACCAACCCAGGTTTGGTTCCTGGCATCCCATTGGGTCCCACATCCAGCCAGGAGTGATCCCTGAGCCCAGAGCCAGGAGTATGCCCTGAGCACCAATGGGTGTGGCCCCAAAACAAAAATACTACCAAGTTCATCTGCCTCAGTTTGATCACTTTTAACAAGTGCATTACCAGCAGACATGCCTGTGTGTCACATATATAAAACCAGTGTGCAGAGTTGGGCTGGAGTGAAAAAGAAAATAAGCTTCCCAAAGAGCAATGTGGGCCATCCCTTAACATAGATTTGTCCACACAGACTTCCTCCCAGCCAAGCCAGCAGGGCCTCCGTTCTATGCTATACCCATGTGGGCAGCATTGTCTTAGAATTGACTCTTGTGGGGCCATACAGGGGTTAAGGCACTTGCCATATATGTGGTAAACCCAGTTCAACCCTCAGCAACACGTGGTCCCTCTGAGCACTGCTGGGAGTGACCCTCAAGCGCAGAGTCAGAAGTCTCTGAGCACAGATGAGTGTTGAGGAAGGAAGGAAGGAAGGGAGGGAGGGAGGGAGGGAAGGAGGGAGGGTGGGTGGGTTTCATGATGCTTTAAAATCAGACAGGTGTCAAACTGCCAGTCACTGGATAGGTCTGGAAGCTTCAGCTTGAACGTTTCCCTTCCAGGGCTGTCAAAGGTATCTAACAAGCAAAGAGAGGACCTT